GGATCCGAATAGTCAAGGTCAACTTCCCACCAACCCACTAGCCTCTGGCTGGTCTGCAGAGTTCACAGAAGCCAGCTGGCTGGCTTGTTTTGGGTGGGAACCCAAGAGAGCTGGGCCAATTTCCCCACCTTTGGGCACGCCCTTAGGCGCTCTCCCAGATAATCAGCCCCAGTAAACACAGATAAGATCCTACCAGCTGGCCCTTCTTCTGCCAGGTTAGTTCCACAGCAGCTCGGTTGATAGCTCCAGGTGATGGCTGGATCCAAGGTGGTGCCCTGAGGTCACAGGGCTGTGGTGGGGGCTGAGGTGCGTGGAAGCAAGGGACTGGGGAGGTAAGGAGCGCAGGCCTTGGACACTACCACCAAGAGGTGGGGCGGGGCTTGGGCGCTGCTGGTTGGGGGTCACACAGGTGCGGGCTGCAGGGGGGTCGCACAGTGGCGGGTAGTCTTCGCTCCTCTGGGGTTCCGCGGTGGATGGCTGACTATTGCTCTTCCTGGGTCTCTTCGCGGCCTGTCTGGCGGCGGAACTCTGTCTCTGGTGGCGGAACTCCATCTCTCATATCTTACATTTTCCTACAACTTTGATATTATGCTCTGTTTTCCAATGCCGTTTCTTTTTACTTTATTTTTTGTTTGTTTGTTTGGTGGGGTTTTTTTTGGGGGGGGTTGTGGGTTTTTTTTAAGTGCTTTCTTTTTTTCCTTTTTTTAAAAAAAATTATTATTAATTTCTGTAAAAATTTACAGAGACTTTGGATTTCCATTCCTTCATTCATTGTTTCCAATGCCTTTTCACTGTCCAATCTTGCCCTGTCTGGAAAACCCTAGCTCCTGTCTACTCCATGTCTTGCCCCATCTGTACCTTTTCCTAAACTGTCTTCTGTTCTGTGAATTAGTCACTTCTCTTTTGAGTGATCCTAACCATATTTAGTGCTCAATCATGGTACAGTCTAAACATATTAAATTCCATATATTGTCAAAGTAAAAACACAGGGATGGGAATTTTGTTTTGTTAGTATCATTTAGTTATTATTTTACAAATGCTTTTCCTAGATTGGTAGCCTACATATTGCTGTGATGCCAGGAGCTATGCCACTGAGAGTGCATATAATAGGTCAGTTATAGTAGACAGGCTTCAGTGGCATTTCCAAATTAAGGAAGACTAGGGGAAGAAGTCTAGCAATCTCTCTCCAAATATTAGTCTGTGAAAACCTTATGGGTCACAACAGAATACTGTCCAACGTAATATTGGGAGATGAGTTCCCTGTGTGGTTCCACTACATGATAGACCTAACAGTGACCGCCAGTAAAACAGTGGTGAAGATGGTGCAGAACCAGTAACACTTGGCTCTGTTACTCATAGTTCATCATCATTAGATCCGCGCGCGTACACACACACACACACACACACACACACACACACACACACCCCTTGAGGCAGGATCAACTATTTACTGTACAAAAAGGAAAAAGTAAATAATTGAGGACATCAAAGTGAAAAGAAAATAGAGGAAATAATGCCACAAAACCTCAACACTTGTTGGAGGAAGGCTCCAAGATAAGAAAACACATTGAGTTCGAGAAAAAAAAAATTATGGTTTGATAAAAATGAATAACTTATGCTATATTAAAATTGGAGAAAAACAATCAAGATCTTTGGGAGTAGAAAGAAAAGCAGCCTGGGAGGTTACCTAAGTGACTTGCTCCATGCCCATGGCTTCTTTTGTTAGAAAGTAATACTCACCTCCTGACTTGCAGGGCTGTTGATGTATACCAAAGGGAAACTAAATACACAATGAAAACTAGGTGCAATTCAGCATCCTCTGGGAGAAATAGAAATATCTATACCCTTGTGAAGATAGAAAAGTAAGAACATAACACACAAAAGCATAAGGAAGTTTGGTAGTGGGAAGATACAAAACGACCCATTTTCATCCAAAGAGGAAACATTGTGTAGCAGGTACCTTCAGAAGGACATGAAATCCCTTTGCCATGCCCTCCAAAGGCCAGTCATGGTATTTTCAATCACTTGCTATGCTGTCAAGAGCTAGACAGTGAATAAGGAAAACAATAAGAATTGATGCCTTTGAACTGTGGTTGAAGAAGAGTCCTGTAATCCCATAGAGTGCCAAAAGAAAAAACAAATAGAAAGTGCAGCCAGAATGCTCTTTGGAGGCAAAGATGATAAAGCTTCACTTCACACACTTTGGGCATATTGCTAGGAGGAATCATTCACTGGAGAGGGGCATCATGGGAAAGTTGGAGGATCAGTGAAAGAGCAAAAGACCCCTGATCAGGTGGGTTAACACAATGACTGCAACAATGGGCTGAAGTGTGTTGCAGATTATGAAAGATGGCACAAGATAGGACAGGATTCAGATTGGTTGTTCACAGGTTCGCACCTAACAATAACAACAAAAGGCCAGATGATCTGTTTCTAGAATATCCAACATGTATATGTAGTCTCAGAAGAAAGTGACAACTGTGTATTATACCAGATCATGACCGGGAGAAGATAGATTTTTACAAATTTACTAGGCACTTCTCCAGAAGAAGACAAAAATTAAGGTCAGGTCTACATTAGCCAGCAAAAGAGTCCTGGGCCCCTAGATCCGTTTATTTGGCTCTGCTGACTATTTGGCTCAGTTTTCCCTTAGCAAGTGTAAAAAACGCTTGAACACCACCACCCTGGGATCCCGTTCAAGCAATTCAGATAGCTGTGGCCTTTTAACTCACATCCAAGCGACTTGGCTTTCTACCAATATCATTTCCCCTAGTAGAAGCTAATCCTAAGTGAGAAAGTACACAGCTCAGGGAGCCAGGAGTTAACTGGCTGCTCCCACCGTCCAAAGGTCAGGCTCTTTCCCTAGATAAGGAAGCAACCGGATAGCAAGAAGTTTGTGCTCTTTCATATTCCAAAGCACACTGGATGTAAGAGCATAACAAGAGAGCTAGTGGACAAACCACCTTCAATTCCTAAAGCCTCTCTCAGGAGGAGCTCAGGCAATTTCACTTTTCTTTTCCAGCCCAATCCCCTGGGAAATAAACAGAGGTGATTTATTAAAATTTCCATTTTGCAGATCAGAAAACAACAAGTTCAAATGTAAAAAGTGGCAGAGCATCCTGTGGTTATGATCCACTTGCTAAACTACATTTCTTTCTTATAATTATATAAGAATTACAGAAATAAGCACATTTGCTTATATGTAGTTGACTGTAACTGAGCTAACAGCACTGTCACATGACGTTCTGTGATGATGGCTTTCCTTAGGTCTCTCCCCTGTGTAGACAGTTCCCTTTGCCAGGGACATGGTTTCTTGCTATCTCTTCTAAAGAAACCTAAATCTGGAAAAGTTTAAAACAGTTTTAGGATGTCATGTTCTTTTCTCCTTTACCAGCAAGAAATTTCTATAGTTCCACCTGCCCCTCAAAGCAATGTGTCTACAGTAATCTCTTTAGATTTTCTGTCTGCTTTATTTATATTGATATAACACGCACCAATTTACTCGCTTATTTTGTGTTTGTTTCTTTTCTGACTTTGCTGTGATGGATGATTTTCAGAGCTAGTCACTACATTAAATTCACTGATATTTAGGTGGAGATATTATTTTTGAAAAGCTGGAAGGTGATGAAAAGGGATACTGCACAGCATGCATGCATGGGACTGTGATACCACGTCAGAGAAAAATTATAAAAGCCGCTTTTCCCTCCAAAGGAGGTTTTAGTAAAAGTGGCCTGGGAAGGATGACAGCTTATAGGACTGAAAGACACCCAAAAGTACAAAAAGAAGATACTAAGAGATGTAGGCAGCAGTGCCCCCTTGGTTGCCTAGTTAAGAAATGTATCGTGTACAGTTTCTGGAGAAATCAAGCAATGCAAAAAACCTGGACGGATTAATAGCGGATCAAGATAACTAGCAGGATGCAAACAAACAGCACCTTTCACTATGAGGAGGCGTATTTCTCCAGGCAAACAAAGAAACAGGACAGAGTCAACATCTGTTTCATATCACAGCTTGGCTGCTGAAAGAAGCAACCTTTAAAAAAAAATGACTTAGCTGACAATCCTCAAAAAATCATTCGATCACTATTGCACAGGCTGAAGTCCATGGGCAAATGAGCAAAACTTGCACTTTGCACACCGCCCTCCCTCCCTTCTGAGAAAGTAAAGTGCCTTTTCTTCAGGGGAATGGAAAAAAGAAAGCAAAATAAAGTGCAAACAAAATCCTCATGAACTTTTTCCTTTTGATTGACAACTAGCAGCAATGATTACTAAGGCGTCAGCGCCCGCGAGCTGCTGCTCAGCTTTTCTTTGCCTTTCCCAATGGCAACTGTGAAGACAAGAATTCCACTGAGTGTGTTGGGTGGGGACGGTGGCTGAGGCATGGGGGCAGGGAGACTCTTTAGACTAACATATTAGAATATTAGAGGAAAGGGGTAAAAGTTACTCAAGTTCCTAGAATTCAGATAAAGATAGAGAAGGGAATATTATGATTTGTGGATCCTTATCAAGAAATGATAAAGAAACACATGTGTTAAGAAATAAAATTCTGTGC